TAAGTGATTTCTAGGAAATGGGTTTTCTTAGCTCAGAGAGGTGTCATTCTTTCTATAGCTCAGTAGTACTCAGTTGCTGTTATAGTAGTCGCTGGTTTGTATTACTCAAAACAATCTTTTTTTAGTAGACATTTGGGATGGTGCACTGAATAACTTGGTGTGCATTTTTCATGTTTAAGGAGATACTTCTTTAGGATAGATTTCTAGAAGTGAGATTGTTGGATTAAAGGTAAATATATATGCAATTTTGTTAGATTTTAATGAATTTTCATCCTTAGCAGTTGTATCATTTGTCATCCCACCAGAAATGTGAATGTATCTTTCTGCCCACAGCCTCTGCAAAGAGTTTATTATTAGCTTTTGGGTTTTATCCAGTCTGATAATGTGAATTGGTGTGTCATGGTAGCTTTTATTCGGATTTCTCTGCTGAGTGAAAATGAGTGTTTTTGTTCATATATATATATTTCATTTTACTTCTTTTATGAGAGAGAGAGAGAGACAAGCACCCTCAACAGGGTCTCTCACGCTGTGACCTCTTCTCAGCCAACCGGGAGTATGGGCACCCCTGGCATGTATAGGTTGACTCAGGAACTGAGCCTCGCTCTTCCATGTGGCTTGGCATTGCATCACTGTTGCATCACTACTGCCATACTACTGCAGCTGAGCCTTACGCGTATATTTTTATATATATTTTAAACTTTTTTCTATTTTTAAGAATTTTTTGTCCTATTGTTTTTTTTTTATTATCATCATAATCTTCTTTATATTACATTGGATTACATATAACTTTACAGTGTATTACATTGCTTTTTCAAAAGGGAATGCCATGCATGTCAGTCAATACAGAGACATTAATCTCCCCGCTTCAACATTCAATATCTTTTCTGTTTTCCCCAATCATTATTATTATTATTCTAATTATTTTTTAAAACAGTCAACTGCTATTTCTCATTTTGCTTGTAAAAAGATTTTGCCCATCATGAAATACTTCTCAGACCAATCCAGTTGAGAATACTATACATGTCATCATCAACAGGTAATAAGCCATATCTGTTTCTCACTAACGTCCTGCCTCTCTATTGTTCTCTTGCTATCTTTCTCTATCCTCTTCTCTTCACCTCCCCCATTCCACTCTGTCCTATGTCGTTAAGTACCTTCACTGCTTTTATGTCCTCCAATTTTTTACTCTCTATCATAGAGTGCAGATAGTCGGTATATATTGAGTGGATACATACAATATCTTTCTTTCATAGCCTGGCTTACTTCACTCAGCAATAGATCCTCCATATCTGACCATTTTCTATCAAATTCCAGGGTCTTGTTATTTTTTATGGCTGAGTAGTATTCCATAGAGTATATATACCACACTTTTCCAATCCATTCATCAGTTTGTGGACATTTAGGTTGGTTCCATGTCTTGGCAATTGTGAATAATGCTGCAATAAACATGGATGTGCAAGCACTTTTCTGACTGAGCGTTCTCCTGTCTTTTGGGTAAATACCCAGAAGTGGGATTGCTGGATCAAATGGTACTATAGGGTGCATATGCTCACCAGAAAGACAGAGAGAGACAGAGACAGAAAGCGAGAAATAACCCCCCAGTAGGGATAGCCAAGCCTCAGTCCCTTCTCCTTCATTCTCCTCTCGGGATCTTGGGCACGCATACACACATGCCCAGCGTGAGTTCAAGCCACTGGGTCTGGGACTCGAACCATGGTCGACTACGTGGGAGTCCAGTGACATAGCCATTACCCATCTGCTGATCCCAACCGTACTCATATTTTTAAGGGCCAGTTATAGATTTCTCCGAACTCTCTGTTCATAGATTTTACTTTGTAAGAAACTTTAAGTGACTATTTCATAGCAATGACTAGTTTTTACTTTAAAATAAATTATCACTGTTCTCTGGCCCTTTTGGTGCCAAATGCTCATATTTACTGGGTGAGTTATGTTTATGATCTTTTTAAAAAAATCTTTTTGTATTTGGGCGAATATCGTACACTAGTTGTTTCAAATATGGATTTAGATGTAAAGTTAATTTGTTGACATAAAATGCAGAATGGCACCAGAATGCCAGTTCTATTCATATTTATTTATAGATCTGTGATTAAACACATAGTGCTACAAACTTATGGTTTATATGGTTATTTATAAGAAAATTATAATCTGTTTTAAAGATAGGTTATCAGAACAATAGAAAGGAATATGTTTGTAATGATGTCATGAAGTGAATAAGTTGAATTACTTTTATTTGTCATTTAAGGTGACTGCTATCATAGTAATTTTGTGTTTTAAAATTAGGACGAAATGGGGGAACATCAGTTAATTGACTAGAAACTTAGCTCTTCAGGACAGGATTTAGCTTAAAGTGCAGAGGAACACATGGGAGCATCTAATTTGTAGAGGTAATAATGGTAGATTTCTAGGGTTGTACCTATTGGAGCTTGTATAAGACATGCTGAAACAAAAGCAGGACATCATCCTGTTTCACGGGTAAGAGGAGTGAGAATATTTAAGTACTGCATGAATATTTCTAGAAAGATAGAAAAGTTATCAGATATTTGTAATATTCATATTTGTAGGTTAAGTGGTAGTTATGATTTCTGAGAAGAAGCTCACATATTCATTCATTCATTCATTCATTCATTCATATTTCAATTAAAAGACAACCAGTAGTTGAAATTTTATATATTGCTATTTAGAACTAATTCATACTCATTTTCAAAGAGGGATCCAAGGCTAAGTATTGCCATGGATGAAGAAAGGTATGTCTCTCTTCTGGAAGTGTAGCTCCCTTCCTCATTTGAGTTGAATCATAAGAGACCCTAAAAACAAGGGTGTGTATTGCATTAAATGTGTTTCTTCTGTGGAGAAATAGTGGTGGGTACTCTTCTTTCCCTCTGGGCGCCTGCAGATTCATCTTATGATTACTGTTGTTGAAATTTGTATAAGAGAAAAAGTACTGTTTGAGCCGTGATTTTGGACACATATGCATCTTGACCTATACTTTGTTAAAAAATTATGTAAAAATATGAACAAATTGGAGAATACTTTGCAATATAAAAATTCAGTATTATGTCCCAAGAGGAGGATGGAGAAAGGATTGCTGCCTGGCCATCCTGGGAGATGATTTTTTTCTTTCTGTGTCTCTGGCAAGTGCATGAACCCTATAGCAGAAATCTCTCTTAAAAAAAAAAAATAATGAATATTTTGTATTTTCTCAAAATATTAGATGGCTTCAAAATATTTTAAAACTGTTAATACTTGGATTTACACATAATTTGTAGGAACACGTTGGTATAAAACTGTCACTGTATTTTTGTATGAAGCAGATTTTCTTTAGCTATTTTTGTGCCATAAAAGAATATATAGAATGGCACTTATTTATAGATTAGCACTATGAAATAACTCATCTCTGTGTTAACTGACAATCTTAGTACTCCAGAACCTGCTGATGAGCAGAAAGCAAGCAGAATAAGATCTCTGGCTTGCTAAGAAACTTGTCATAAATTTTGTAAGAGAAACCTTGTACCTTCTACCAGTGTTTATTTCCTTTTGCCTTGTAAACAGCTTGGTTATTTGGTTTCCTTGCTCACAATATAGTAGAAGCAATAGATAGTACAGTGAGAAGAGTGAAGTGGGATGATGCTACTAGATATGCCGTCAGCCATAAATAAAGTGACATGGACAGAAAGGCAGAAATCAGGAAGACTTCTTTTTTTTTTTTTTTTGGGGGGAGTCCCCCCCCCCCCCCCCACTATAGAGCGCGTGCGCTCACCAGACAGACAGAGAGAGACATAGAGACAGAAAGCGAGAAATCCCCCCCCGGGGGGATGGTCATGCTGCAATCCCTTCTCCTCCATTCTCCTCTCGGGATCTTGGACACACACACACACATGCCCGGCTTGAGTTTTAAGCCACCAGGTCCGGGACGCGAACCGCGGTCGACTACGTGGGAGTCCAGCGACATAGCCATTACACTAACTGCTGGTTCCCGTCTTTTGAAAAAAGTTCTATGGTAGACCTTCTTGTATGGATAACATTTGCAAATTACAATAACAAGAAGAATAATTAAACATAAAAATTATCCACACTTTAGTAATTCATTGATCAACTTTCTGTCTCTGGGCAAGTTAAACTCAGGCTCATCCATTAAGTGGTTTAATATTATTTAAATTAATAGAGACAGTGTGTGGATCCCATAGCTGAGATTACAACCCAATTATCTGGTACAAAATAACTCCCCAACAAATGTCAGTCTTTAGTTAAATCTTGCAGTGATTTGAGTTTCAGCTAAGCAACATAAACCGTTTACTCTTTTGTAATTATGGTCCATCAAAATTGTCAGCTTATAGGGACCAGCAGGTGACATGGTGGTTAAGGCACAGGACACTCTCACATGGTTGACCACGGTTCAAGTCCTGGACTTGGTGGCTTGCTTTCTCACCTTCTCTCTCTCTGTCTCTCTCTTGTCAAGTTACAGAATGAATGAATGAATGAATAAGTTAAATAATTAAAATAAATCTTTGAAAAAAATCGCAGTTTATATTTATTTGTTTGCATTCTGCAAATCCAAAAAGCTCTGACAACTTGTGAATTTGTCACAAACTCTTTTGTACAAAAGTCTGACCCGAATTGACATCAGGCTACAGTCTGTAACCTACTGTGTGCATTATTTGATACCTTAATGTTTAACGGGGAAATATAAAGATTTTGATAGTGGAGTGCTGCCTCAGATTTGCTAGAAGAATTATATGCATACCCACATTATCTTTCTAAAATTGGAAATCTTTGAATTCTAAGATACATCTTCCCTTGAGAACTTTGGATGAGGGATTATGGACCTTTGGAATTTAATATATATTTTAATTGAATTGGAAGAAGAAATTCCATGGGATCTTATTTAATGGAAAGGCACTGTAAATACTCAATGTTGTTCATCTTAGAAATGTTGGTTGAGCTTACACAAGTCATTGTGTTCTTTTTTCTCCTCTCTGCAGCAAAATGAAAAGGAGAGCTTATTGAAGGAAAGAGATCACATTTTATCAACTCTGGGTGAGACAAAGCAAAACCTAACTGGACTTTGCCAACAAGTCTGTAAAGAAGCAGCTCTGAGTCAAGAACAAATACAGATACTTGCCAAGTACTCAGCCTCAGATTGCCCACTTTCATTTTTAATTTCTGAAAGAGAAAAAAGTACTCTTGATGGTGAACTTGCATTACCATCAATTTTTAGTTTGTCTGATGGGTCTCCGGCTGTGACGCCTCCCAGTGCAAGAGGGAACAGTGAGGCCAGCTCTGCAGAGGGGCAGGAGTCACAGCAGGTGTCCACAGCTACCTCTGAGCAGGCTGGCTGTGTGGTACAGTGTCGTCAGAGTGGCGGGATCTCAGATTTCTGTCAGCAGATGACTGATAAATGTACTACTGATGAGTAAATGTGTGTCTGCTTCCTTCTAATCATCTAATTTTCCATTGAAATTTTGGCATTATCTTTAAAGGCTAATACGGTCATGCATTGCTTACCAATGTAATTTTTTTTATTAGTTTGCTGTTAAGGAAATTTCTCTTAAGTCAACCCGCATTTCTCCTTGATTTCAGCAAGAGACACAGAAATGATTTGTCTGCTGGATACCAAAAAGTCACATGTGAGATGGGAGTAAGCCTTTAAAACTTATGTTTGAAAGAATAATAACTATTGTAACTCATCCCAGTATTCAATATAAGTAAGTAAGAGAATGAAAACTGAATCATACCAAACAGCATGCAGGTCATTTCTGCTAAAGAAGTGACCTGTCGAAGCTTAATAATCTGATCTTTTTTGCAATAAATTGGTTTAAAAGAAAATTTCTCTCCAGGTAATATTACTAGAGTTCTGTTCTACTCAGAAGTAGAGCATCAGTTAATGGAAATATTTGTGTAGAATCTCAATGTGAAAAAGAAATCGACTTGCTTAAATTCCAGAGTTTTGATCGTCAGCTCCTACTAAAACTAGAGGTTGGTTGGACTTTACTGTGACTTTTAAGTCACCCTCCATTGGGAAGATTTAATAAATGGATAGGTGGTTGGCTAAGGATAGGCCTTCTGTTCTTCCTCATTATCATCTGTAGAAATTCTGGCTGCATAAACAGTAGATAAGTGTCATTTTTACTCTTTTTTTCTTGTTTAGTCTCTATCACTTCTGGGTCCATTGTGAACTTCTGTTACCTGACGTTTTTGTCCCTTTGGAAGAAGTAGGATTCAGGAAACAGGCAGAGTAGTGCCCTGGAAGCATTGTTTTAGACTGAGCTTAGCCACGTATCAGACTGTTCATTCTTCCAATGGAGGTCACTAATACCAGAAGCCAGACATCAGGGAGGAAGAAAATTGCCCACACCAGGAGTGCAGTTCACATCCCATTCTCTTTTGAAATCCTATGGTTTTATGTGTAAAAAAACATTGTTTTAGGTAAAACTATATCTACAGTAACTCTGTAGGGTTGTGAAATAGGATGAAACTTGATCTTTACCATTGTAAGTTGCATTTGGTTTAATCCTTACTCTCTTCCCAAATCTGGTGCAATATAAAGGCACACAAATCACTTTCACTTAGGCACTTAAAATCAGTCTATATGTTTATTTGATCATGGTATAAAATGTGTTCATAATATCTCATAACATTTTATAGTGGTTCTTAGTTATTATGGAGTTATACATATTAGAGATTGTTCAAATGAAAACTAGACCTTCAATGAAAAAATTCCAATATAATCACATTCACAGAATCATTTGAGAACCCAGTTTTTAAGGGTGCAATGTGATAGTTTATAGTGTTTGGAGTAAGAAATACTTCACCAAGATTAGATGCCTAAGAAAGGCACTTACATTGACTGCATCCTTGGAAAGCCTTTGTAGAGAATGTGGAAGATGGCCTCCCACTGTGTGGAAAGGAGTCTGAAGCAAGTAGACATTTGCCACAAGAGTTTATTGGGACCAATCTTAATGTTTCAGAGTAATAGACGGATGTTACCTTTTTTAATTGAGGTGCTGGCATCAGATATTGCTAGAATATTTTCAGTGGTGTGTATGCTATCTGTTACTAAGTTGTAAGAGAAAATTCATTTGGCTTGTTTATTTTCTAGAGGGCCTCATAAGTACCCTTAAGAAACTGTCAGGGAGAATGATAATTATATGATAACATATCCCTTACTACAAAAGGAGGTGTGTGTGTGTGTGTGTGTGTGTATGTGTATGTGTATGTGTATGTGTATGTGTATGTGTATGTGTATGTGTATGTGTATGTGTATGTGTATGTGTATGTGTATGTGTATGTGTATGTGTATGTGTATGTGTATGTGTATGTGTATGTGTATGTGTATGTGTATGTGTATGTGTATGTGTATGTGTATGTGTATGTGTATGTGTATGTGTATGTGTATGTGTATGTGTATGTGTATGTGTATGTGTATGTGTATATACCTTATCCTGTGTAGACATTTCTTGGATACTTGTAATTTTAAATCTCAGCTTCACAATATAAAATAATATAAAAAACTTTCTGGTTTACAAAAGTAAAATCTCGTACAAGCCAATGGAATCCATGATTTCCTACCTCAGTGTACACTCAGCTGTTTGTCATATCAGTTTGTGTATGTGCAGATGTCAATCTTTTTACTTTAATTGCTACTGTAAATATTTGCTTTGAAAGGTTATTTACTATTTTATGATAAAAATTAGTTCTCTCTAGAGTTAAAATATAATTTTTTAAGGCACTTGGTTTAAATGTCTCTCTACCTATAAACAGTTTAGCATTATAGGTTTATTTTAATGATATTCAGTTATTGGCCAAGTGTGACATTTCTGAAAATTTAGCATTACTTTTAATAGCCAGCATGTAAGACAAGCACCTACACTACCTCATACCTACATGATTTTCAAGTTGTAATGTAGATGGACAGATAGAAAGGATTTTCTCTTGTCTTTTGGCTATAAGGTGGGGAAATTTTCTATATACTGCATAGCATTACACATTTATGAGTATTTTAACATTAACCTCTAAAGGAATTTTTTTCTAAGAAAATTTGTTTAAGCTCATTTTTTTTGTGTGTGACTTCTTAAGACAAATGACAGGATTATGTGTATACAGTGTATGCCTTGTCCTTCATGCAGAATTCTGAAAACGTTTTCAGTTCGTCTATTGCATATTTACATGGTCATCGTTCTTTCTTTTATGAACTGGGCTTCAAAATGCTTGATTTTAAAAAGATATTATCTTTAACTCAGTAAAATAACATTACCTTAAAAGATTTTCCCCTTATTTGAAGCCTATAGTAAAGCAAATAATTTGTTAAATTGTTATATTCAAGACAATGTGGATATAATCTTGGTTCTCCATGTGTAAGTTTTATAACAATTTACTAGAGCTTAATACTTAACCAGTTTTAAGTAAGGAATTAAATATACATGAAGCAGTAGATGATACAGGTTGTATGTGGATATTTGGCCACATTAACAACTTGGGAAAAAATGGCAATGTTATAATGAATTCTCAGGTGAACTTTTTTCAGTTATGAAACATCTATTTTGAATTTGTAAATATTTTAAATGTTTTATTAAGGCATGTAGTAAACTATTTGAAACCTGTTGGGTAGAATGAAAATTTAAAGCCATAATGGTAAAAATGGCATACTGATTGTAAAATAAACAGAAGTAATAACATTATTGATTTTTTTGTATCTTTCATAATATAATTTTTTAACAATGCAATAAAACCACTAAGCTTATGTATACATATCATATTAGACCATGTTTATTAAAAGTACACTTTCATAGTATTTAATTTACATTTTCTTCCTAATGTACTTACACAAATGTAGCAAAACTATAAATATTAGATGTTGGTGATAAATTGACAGTTAAATAAAATTCTCCAAGATTACTTCTAATTGAATGGAGTTGTATATTCCATTTTTTTGCCTTTTACACAAATTTACTAATTTCAGTCTTTTGATTAATAATCAGTATGACTGTGGTGTTGGTAGGAGAGAATCTTTCATTAGTGGGTGATTATACCTAGAAAAAAAGTTCCCAGTGCTCAGGTGATTTAGGAAGCATAGCATCTTGCTTCTAACTTTCTTAATTTCAGTCTTTGGTAGATATATAGGAGCTTTTAAAGGGCATTAGCTCTGCAAGTCATTAGTTTTTAAAACCTCCTTGCTTGAATCAACTCTACCATATTATAGTCACTATCTGACTAGGCCTGTGTAGCAGCTGCTCAGTGCTATTGGCCCTCCAAGGGATAGTCTGGGGTAATAGTAATGATTCTCAACTGGAGGAAATTATGCCATGTTAGAGACATTTGGCAATTTTCAGAGACACAAATAGTGGGGACAGGAAACAGGGTATGGCATCTACTGGATAGAGCCAATGATGTTGTCAAACACATGATGCATAGGGCAGTCCTCACTGCAGAATTATCCACACAAGAAGTCAGTGTTGCCAACATTGAGAAACCCTGACTAGACCAGCGATAGAATTAATATGATACATAAGAAAATGCTCAGAGTAAGAAATATGTGGAATTTCACCAAGCTCTGAAAGTTTTCAATCTGATTTGGGAGGAGGATGGTTTCAGGGGAGGCACCTGATACACATACACTTGTCACGTTAGAGGGTTGGGAGGAGATTGTCAGTGGGGGAGGAGGCCCAATCTAGCCCCAGGTCCTCTACCAGCATGTCCTGGCATCTTGCCTGTTGCCCTGCACATCTTGGCTGAGCTCTCGAAGGCCTGAGGTCAGATTGAGGTCTTTAAGAACCACAGAAGTGTACATAGTAGATGTTAAGTTTCTGAAGAAGAAGGACAGTAAATACCACCCTCACCGTGGTCAGAGTTTTGGGCCCGTTGAGAAATACAGTTGGTGGGTGGAGTCCACATAGCTGATGAGACCCAGTTTGGCACCTGGCTTTCTAGCTGTTACAGCCTAGTGAATTTGCTGGAAATGATTCTGGAGTAGACAGGCTTTCCCAGTCAACTCAGCCCTACTCCTACCTGTGCAGAGTCCCCGGAGGAACTGGAAAATGTGCACCCTACAGGTGAGCAAATACTAGATAAGGTGAGCTGAGACAGGTCGGCTCAGTTAACTTAAAAAGCAGTCTGGCTGGCTTAGCTTAAGAGGCATTGTGTGTCCTCACTCCATATATACCAAATGTCTGCACTCTGGCAGAAACAGAAAGACTGGAAGGTACAAAGGCATGGAGAGTCTTTGGATACCAAAGACAATGTGGGAGGAGGGTGGGAAATGTGGGAGGGTGAGAAGGAAGGAATCAAGGGGGAAAAGAAGCAAAACATTTAAAGGACACAAAAATGGAAAATCATCTGTTGATGATAATGTGTAAGATAATATCTTTGAACCAATATACAGTGTAGTCATGATGGGAAAACTCATTTGGTATGCTGTAATGATACAGAGTGAGTGACTAAAAAAATTAAAAAAAAAAAATTACTGAGCAGAATCAAAGACCACTTCCTCAGGGCCAGTGGAAGGAAAAGGAACATGTTTAAGGGAAGTCCTTTCCCTGGAGACCTGGATTAGGGAAGGGTGTTCTCCATGACTTAAGTTCTCCTGAAATATGGACCTTAACCATTGCCCCACTTCCCAATCATGCCTGTCACTTGTCACCTAGAGGTGGAGAGTAGCAGTTAAAAAGGCAGAGCTGGGACCAGCAGATGGCATAATGGTTATATAACTGGACTCCGACATGGTCAACCACAGTTGGAATCCCAGACCTGATGGGTTAACTCATACTGGGCACATGCAGGTGCATGCCCAAAATACTGAGAAGAGAATGGAGGAGAAAGGATTGCGGCATGGCCATCCCTCTGGGTGGTGATTTCTCGCTTTCTGTCTCCATCTCTCCAGCAAGCACACACACCCTATATCAAAAATCTCTCTCAAAAAAAAAAAACCACACAATAAAAAAAAACTCCCAAAAAAAAAAAAAAAAAAAAAAAAAGGCAGATGGCAGAATCAACCTCTCCTGGGTCAGGGTTAGGCTGCTTCCCACTAGTAAACTTAGGCTGCAGCTTCCTGGGACTGTTCACTGGGAGTAGGTATGTGGTCTCAGAAGGCTTGGAAATGGATCTGACAATGTACTGGTATGGAAATAAAAGGCTATTGTATTCCAAAGACTGAACATTAACTTCCTGTTCTTTCGCATTTCTGTTGCCCTTCTGCCCCATTGTTCCCTATGGCTTATCAGAGGTTCCACATCAGTATTAAATTCCAACATAAGGAGATCCCCATAAGCAAGTGTGATAGTCCAGTAATAAAATGCCAGCCACTTGAGGATACTCCAGAGTTGAGTAAAAATCCCCTCTTTTTTCAACTTTCAGGGTTAAAAATAGTTCAAAAGTAAAACCCTTTTGGAAATTAAAATCTAAAGACATAGACGACTAAAGGAACTAAATAATCAAATTACCTGCCTGCGTGTGTCCAATGTACAAGAAAACTATCCGTTTAAATTTCTCTTTCGGTTTTGCCTTAGCCAGTGCAGTTCTTGATACCTGGGTGGAATCAAAGTTCTTTGAGAAGCTGTAGCTTAGAATTTGTCTCACAGGATGGTAGTTCCTGAAAGTCCTCAGAGAGACCTGGTCTTAAGAGTCTGAAGTGACCATAAAATTATCACAGCCATACTTGCTTGAAAACAAGCCAGTTCCCGGTGCTAAAGCAGACTCAGGACCCAGTGCTGCCAACGACCATAGTAGAAACTTTATGATAACCCACAAAGAGATTGGAAATTCTTGGTCTCAGATTCCCAGCCATGCCAGTGTCCTGAAACTCACCACATGGAAACTTCCATTTTTTACAAAATTTTAAAAATTTTTGCCAAAGACTGTGCATTCACCAGAGACAGAGGAAAAGCTAGAAAGCACCCGCTATGGGGAATGATCACA